GAGTTCCCTTTTATTTAACAAATCTTACGCGACCAGAAAAAACAAGCGCGCGCGGAAAAATAGTCTTTGCATTTGCTCACGTCAGCAGCGTACACCCATGGGCAAATGGGGGACGCTAAATTGACCAATCAGAGCGCGCGCTTTACTCTGGTTATGTGATAATTTATAATCTCAGGTTTTTTCTGGTTTGCCCTTTTAGTCTTAGACCAGCTCATGGGCCGAGGTCGTGTTCGTTAAAGTACAATTAAAATCTGATGTATATGTTTTGATATGATCGTTTTTGTAGGGGAAGTGGTTTTGGGAAAGGTATTTTAGCTCCATGGGAAAGATCGCTCTTACAACAATAAAAGTCATCAATGACAGGGTGTTCCGCTACACGGCTTGGCAGTATGAGGTAAACTACAGTGCTGCTCAAAAAAGCACATAAAACGCGTTAAATTCGAGCATAAGTGCGTTTAAATATAACCCATGCACGTGTCTAAATTGCGCATTTTATACTTCTGTCTCTTTAGTTTGTATGAGCTACCTTATTGTTTTTTCTTATTGTTGACAGTTGTTCGAAAGAATAGACTAATAGCACTAAAGCACTACACGAATTCGAACTACATGTAGACTTGTTCGTTTCAAGCACCGCTCGAGCCGACCTTCGCCATACGCTGTTACATATGTGTACGACTTTGTAATCGGAACTGCATGCAATGAATAGTTCTGTCATTTTTTATTTGGGGGGAGTAGAAATGGAACTCGTGGCACTTCGGCGATGCTTGTTATTTTGAAGTGATTGAACGTTTCTAAAGCTTGTACAAGTAAGATAAATTTTATCATTTCGGGCTGACAAGGCTTGTCCTAGTTTTGCCATTACAGAAAGCAATTTTTAGAAACTTAGATTTTTAATGTTCCTTTTCCTGTCTCCTAGGACTGGAATATCCCCTTTGAGACCTTCTCAGGAAAGAAAACGGTAAGTGTTCAATAAAATTTCTTTAGGGCTACCGTGTTGTGTTATGAAAGATGGAAATCGGAATTGTTCAACGGAAAAAGGACTTGTGCTGTCAAATAATATAATTAAGAAAGAACCTCCATGAAATAAAGACCTATTTACTGGTGTAGTCGGGGAGAAGAACCTTAAAAGAGTTTTACTTGCAGTTGTGATAATTTACTGTAAACATTCCTTAATTTCAAAGGCAACTCTTCTTCCACCACTGTTTTTCCCGTTACGCCCGTACACAAATCAAGGATTTACGGCTGTGGTGCTATGTTATGACAGAGTAGACACCATGTTCAAAGTAATCACGAGAATCGCTGACACCCCCAGTTTGACAAAGGTAAGTTAATTCATCACTCAGAGTTTCTCACATTACTGAGTAATGCAGGCTTTACAGAAAAGAACTCTGTCTCCTGAAACTACTTTTCTCAGTGTTTGTGTGGTGCAACTAAATTTAACTTGGATGAAACTGCGAAATATTAGCTCAATAAGAAGGACAACACAGGCGAAGAAAAAGAATTGCTAATGATGGAGAAGATTAAAACAAATTGAAAATGACGATCTAAAAACGTTGGGCTAAACTCCTCAAGGTGCACAAAACGCAATGTAGCTCCTTTCAAAGACTGCGAATGATCAAGGGAAAAAAAATCAGTTGATTGATCAATGGAGTTTTGAATCTTTCTCTTTCCACTTTCAGATCGTTGTTGTTTGGAATAATGTAAAAAAGGCACCTCCCTCTGGTAAGTTTAAGTGGTATTCCAACTCTTTCTTTGGGTTCGGTACAGGAGGGGGGAGGGGGAGCAGGGATGGGCTCGGTATAGGAGAGAGCAGGGATACCGCAATGGCAAGTGCACTGGCCTCTTACCGTTGTGGTTCGTGCAACTGACGGCAACAGAGACGGCAAAGAACTTGGGGGAGATTGCCAGTGCGGCTGGAATTCCAAATCACTTTTTATATCAGAGGCCCGTTTCTTGTAAATCCCAGCAATCTCTGCCCACTGTTCCTCTGGTCCTCTGTACCTACTGTTCCACTGGTCCTTTGTACCCACTGTTCCACTGTTCCACTGTTCTACTGTTCTACTGTTCTACTGTTCTACTGTTCTACTGTTCTACTGTTCTACTGTTCTACTGTTCTACTGTTCTACTGTTCTACTGTTTCTACTGTTTCTACTGTTCCTCTGGTCCTCTGTACTCACTGGTCCGCTGTGCCCACCGTTTCTCTGGTCCTCTGAGCTCACTGTTCACTGAGCCTCTGTACCCATTCACTTTACCCTTCCGGAACATCCATCTGTTAATTATTAGTTATTTCAGAACCTGGTATATGAGAGACCTGCCTGGTCCTGAAAACCGTAACCAGGCCTCCCCGGTTTCTCGCCCCTTGGCTACGAAGTGGACACCTGGAACAAGCTGAGAATATGGCTTCAGGCCCCTACAGTGACCGGGATAATTTTTTTTGTTTGTTCTCCTCTTTTGGTGCAAGCATGTCCTTCTTCTTTTCCTCCCAGTGGCGGGTCTAGGGGGCCCCCTTTATTTTGGGTAAAAAAATAAACGCAGAGGGAAGAAAAGCCGACAGGTGAACACACACAAACAAAACCGAGCCCCCGACCCCCCTCCCCCTTTAGCTCGAGGTCTGGATCAGCCACTGCCTCCGCCCACAACTAACCAACATTCTTAATTGTAATGCGACCTGCAAGCATTGTGGATTTCCCCGCTATTAAAATTCAACTTACTTTAGCGATTTACTTTATTTACGAGGAAGTTTTGTATGTCCACTGAAAGCTGTTTTCCTCTTTATAGCTGCCAAGTGGCCTCAATTATCAAAACCAGTGAAAGTCGTCAAGACGAAGGAAAACAAGCTGAGCAACAGGTACTTACGATGTAAAGTAAATCATAATAATCTGAATCATTTAGAACCTCTATTTCTAAGTATTTCTTGCATATTATCGTGAATTGATCTGCCTGCCATCTGTGCTTAGCGATTCATTCACGTGTTTGTACGTTCGTTTGTGTTTTTGTTAGGTTTTTCCCATACAGTGAGGTTGAAACGGAAGCGATTCTTGCCATCGATGACGACATTCTAATGCTGACTCCAGATGAACTGGAATTTGGTTTTCAGGTAAGTATCAACAACAAAGTTTATTTCTTGAATCTCTGAGCTGTCTGGTATCTGCTAAACATGGTTTTCGTATAGGTAATCACATGATTTCGAGTGCAATTTGGAATAAATAAGCACGAGCAGATTTTTTCAAAGACTAACAAAATTGCATGAGCCCGTAGGGCGAGTGCAATAGCCCATTTCCGAATTACCCTTGGCCACATTTTCAAAACGAGTCCTGGTGCTCATCCTTTCATATGATTATAAGTTTTCATTCACATGCAAATTAAACTCATTTTCACAAGAATGGTTGAGCACCAAGCCTCGTTTTGAAAAAGAAGCCAAGGGTAATTCGGAAATGGGCTATTTGTGGTCTTTGAAAAAATTTACAAATGCTTATTTATTCCAAATTGCCCTAGAAAATCATGTGATTATCTATTAATAATATACATGAAAAAATACGAGGTAGCTTCTCATAACTACGCAGAAGAAAAGCGCGCATCACGTCCAAAAATAATTTATTCAAACTCTGCAAGTGACATTGACATTGACCTTGACATTGACATTAACCAATCATTCCGATCAATCAGAATGTCTGGCTTGTTTCTTTCTTTGCACTGAATTAACCCTCTTCTGCATTGAATTAACTCTCTTCTGCACTGAATTAACTGAAAACTGCATTCATCTAAACCAATCAGAACTGAGAAATTTTTTCATGTATATTATTAACGGTAAAACAATGCTTTTTTTTGTCGTCTCTTACAAAAGCTACCAGTTGTAATGAATTTATTCCGTTTTCCGACTTACAACTTACAACAACTGGCTTAATTGAATCCGACCGAGTTTAAACTAGAATTCCAGAGTTCTATCCATTAACGCAACTAAAACATACACACCAAGAACTCCGGCTTCAGTAAAACCACATCTTGTGATCACGTGACTGACAACCAACGAGTCAATGTCAACTAAGGGGGGGTCCCCTGAATTCCGCACATTAGTCAACCTTGTTACAAAGTTCCTCTGTCTTAGTTCCTCAAGAGTGTTACTTATGAGTCGTCCTTGCTAATATATATACAGTGAATGTATTAATTTTGTCAAGTGTTATTCATAGAGCAGTCTCTATCATGTAAATACAGCTAACAGTTGGGCATCCTTCTGTAAATTGTTGTCAGTACCATTCGGTACTTTAAAACAATTTCCTTAACACCCTAACATCCGCATTCATTTTCTCCATACTGTTCTCTATACATTTCCTAATGCGTTGAAAAGGAGAACTTTTGTTAGGTGGTGTTCATATCGTATATTCTCGTGACCTTAATGAGGGGGGCATTGGGGGCCTCTGGGAAACCGCAAAACCGGAGAAAAAAACCTCCAAAACCGATAAACCGGCTAAAAAAGGCAGCAAAACCGAAAACCACATGCAAACCTGACAAAAACGCTACATTTTCACCTTTAAGGTCAAAAAGGAAAAACCGAAAATCGCATCGGAGTTTTCGTGAAAACCGAACACCGAATGCAAAAACACGTAAATTCCGCAAACCGCTCTGAACATCAAAACCGAAGAACCGAACCTTTTTGGCCCAAAAACCGAAAAACCGATCCAAAAAACAGTGAAAACCGCAAAACCGAAAATCCCAACCCCCCCCCCCCCTCCACCTCCTTAATATGTCATTCACAGGTGACATTGTAAGGAGAAATTAAGTGCTAGTTCAAGGGTTTCATTGATGTTTTCAGCAGGAGGAAAACTGGTTTTCACAGGCGGGCAAAACTTTTTGAACTGAACTTCTTTATAAGATAAACTTTCTTCCAGATCGTCAAACCAGGTGGGCAAAACCATCCTCACAACCTCACAACCGGTCAATTTGCCTGGTGCCCAGGCCCTTAACGAAATGCCCGTGCTAGTCACTCTGAGAGGTTAAAGCCGGAGTCAAACATTCTTCTTCCCGTGAATAAACAGTCACTTTACCCAGTCTTTTTGGCCCCACGAATAAACAATCATTATTCTTCATTCATCAGACTTGGAGAGAGTTTCCTGACCGTCTTGTGGGATTCCCTGGCCGTGTCCACACTACTCAGAACAACACTAATCGGTTCAAGTATGAGTCAGAATGGACGAATACTGTGTCCATGGTACTCACTGGCTGTGCTTTTCATCACAAGGTAACAAAGTAAAACGTTAAATCTTCGGGTCTTTTTTTAAATTTAGTTAAACAAAGGGGTGCTCACAGGAGAAAGGGGATTATTCGAGAGAGGTTGCTCGATAAGGGAGCTATAGTATATCGCGGACGCTTTCCGACTTTTTTTTTTTTGAAAAAGTCAAAAACAACAACAAAATCAGTGAGAAAAAAAAATTGATGTTCGACTTCCGCGCGGTGCTACGCGGTGGCGCCCCCCTCACATTGACCTTTTTCACCAGGAGGTCCCATTGTAGAACATGTCCACAGCGTGTCTAAACTTTACTTCTTTCCTCGAGCAAAGCAATCCTCAATTATTGACCTATGACGCTTCGCATTTATCAGATCTGACTAAACCGTTGGAGCTGTTTGCTGCTGCCTCCGATTTGTTGCAATTTATATCGTAAAGCTAGGCCGAGAGGACACAGACAGAGTAACCTCAACAATCCTGTTTCATTGGTTTGTTTCCTCACAGCCGTGCTAATAAGCCAAATTTTAATACTATATCCATGGCCCAGTTCAAAAGGCATAGTGCCTTTTGTGTAAACCTCATGTCGCTTTCCAGACACCCTTGTATTGGGGATACCTCCTTCTTGGTGGAGGCAGTTTAGCTGAGTGGTTAGACTGGTGCTGGCCTTGTAATATGGTGGTCCCGTGTTTTAGGCGCTCTTCCTCGTTACCTACTAAATTTGTTTTTCGGTTGCCCCAAGTTCAACTCAGTCCTTGGTTGCACTTCGCTCTGACGAAGGGCTTACGCTCCCAACGTCAGCTTAGAAACTCTTTCCGGTGGCCAATTTACAATACCAACTCAGTTGATAAAACCGAATTAATCCCTCACCGTCGCAGTATCACAGTTTCTTATCATTATTAGTATTATTATTATTGTTATA